CGTTTAAAATTTATAAAGAGGATTAAAACCTCTGGCCTGGAAGGCAACAATCAACTGCGTAACTTCTAAGGTAAGCGGCCTGCTTCGACTCACTGCTTCCTCTCTCTCGCTTGGCGAAAAGCCACAACTTAAATACTTGGCGTTCGCCAGACAAACTTTGCATAAAAACCTTAACGCTTATAATTCTGGCCGGAAGTAGAAAATAAGAAGTGATAGTAAAGATTTAAAATAAAATAAACGTTAGTAAAACTTAAAATCCTTACAAAGTGAGATGTTTTCCTCCAGCTTTTATAAGCTTTTTAATGAAGCACAATATTTTGGTATTTTCTAGATTTTTCCGGAAAACAAAAAAGTACAATTACGAGATATCTACTTATTAAATGCGTGTGCTCCTGTATTTTTAATTTTTCGGCGTAGCTTTCTCTTCAAATAAGTCTCGTGCTGCATTGCACGGCAATATAAAACAATTTTAATTAATTCTATTAAAATAGCTAAATAAATACAAAAACCGTAACATTGCTCCCTTCCCAAGGACTGCACGTCTCGGGCAGTACAATCCCTGGACACGATAATGCAGCTTATATTACCTAGCAATAATAAACATTACATTACAATAACAAAGAACATAAACAATAATTGCAGTAGTAACTTAAAAAATTTCAAATACTTTCAAATACTAAATACAAATCGAAAACTAAATACAAGTCAAATCAAATACAAATCAAATAAGTGCATAAATTTTACAAATTTAGAAACAAAAAGACCATAGTCTTATACTATTTACATTATGAACACTAAGGCCATAGAGGTCACGACCGAAGAACATCTGGGATGGAGAATAGCCAGTGGTCTGGTGTTTCTCTTCCAACCTAGTATAATTTCGGCAACTTCAGCTTTCTGAGCAGGGTCTTTCAGACAAAACGTCGGCTTTCCAGGCGAGGATCCCTTCTGATGATTGATAGTCATGTCCTCAGATGCTGAAAGCAGTTTGTTGTTTTTGAAGTCTAAGGAAAAATTGTATTTTCTTAAAAGTCCAATACGAGTATAAAGGATCTGCAATACCCGCCACATATGCCGTGTGATGGTAGGCGGCACTTCCAAGCATGATGTCCATGTTCAACTTCCCAACTATATAGATTTCATCACCAGACATAGTCTGGAGGGTAACACAGGATGGCGTACAAACGAGTTTATCTTTAAACTGCTGAGCTAAATCTTTCCGGATGATGGTAACACTAGCTCCTGTGTCAATGATCATATTGCAAGTAACTCCATCGATATGCCCATCGATGTATAATCCATTCCTGTTGTTACTCACTGCAGAAATCTTCAGCGCTTTAAAACCTTGTTTTTTATTATCTGGCAACCTCAGTTCTTCGATATGGTCATTAATTTGTTTCCTCCGTCGTTCCGGGAAATGGTCTTAATTACCGTACCCTGGGGTGTTCTGCAGTTCCTTCGTACGTGGCTTTCAGCTCCACAGTTCCAGCACTTTGGTCTCTTGTCACTCCTTTTCCGTCCGATGGCATTTAATTGTCTGTTTAAATCGTATGTCTTATTTTCCGTACTCTGGGGTATTCTACAGTTCCTTCGTATGTGGCCTTCAACACCGCAGTTTTAGCACTTTAGGAATAGCTTCTTTTCACATCAAGAAAGCAACTACAAATCATCGCGTGATGCAGATATGCGTTTTCAGGTTTTAAACGTGGTAAATGCATATTTATTTACATAATGATTTGTGAGCGTGCAAGAAGGGATGAGGATTATTTTTGTTTTCGTATTATTGAACTAAATAATAAATTTTTGCTGAAAAATTAAGAAGCAAACTAAAGCATTCAGAAACTCAAAATGAGTAAAAAATAATGCTACTTATAGCAGTTGACAGAATTTGATAATTTAATAACGAGGTAACCACGAGCAGTTATTTATCTTTCTTTTTCTAATCTGTTTTAGACTAAATTTTGAATTTTTTTTGAAAATGAAAAATTACCAGTAAAACTTTAAAAAAAAAAGAGATTTTACTTTTCTTTTCATTTTTAGTTTTTTAATATCCTTCTTACTTCTTTCAGCAAACATTTGTTAGTTAATTAAAAAATGTGAAACATAAAAGTAAAAATATTCTTCATTCCTTCTTCAGCTCACAAATCATTATGTGAACATGCATTTACACCTTTTAAAGACTGAAAAAAAGAATGTCTGAGATGTTATCGTCATGTAATGATTTATAGGTGCTTTATTTTATACCACGATATTTTCAAAGAATGTTTTTAAGCTGCGAAGTTTGGAAACCGCTTTATTTTCGATGACAATGTTTTGTACCACGATATTTTAGAACTGCGATCTATTCGACATATACGTACTCAGTGTTAAGACTAATTTTGTAAATTGTTATTATTGTTATGTTTAATATTTTCAGTGTTTCATTAAGATGTGGCCCTACTTTTCGTGACTTATTTGATTACTTATTTGACTCTGCAATTCAACGTACGAAGGCAGCAATAATCCCGGGAAGAAAAGGTAAAGTTAATTTTTTATATTATTTTTTTATTTCTTTTTATCAGCTCTTAGAGATGATTTGGAAATCTTCATCCAGCAAGCACTTTCTTTTATTGACAAAACTACCAGTGGGCCGAGTGAGAAACACAAGTATCCGTGGGTTTTTTATTCCATATTTAATGTCAATACGAATTAGTTTAGAAAGTTTTAAGAAAGAAACTTGTAGCATGTTAATGACAACATGATATATACACTGCAATTTAGTCTTAGTTGCGTTGGAGGCTTACCCTTAGTTTGATTAACAAGTTGTTTTGGTTTTGGCGTCTTATCTGAATTCTCTTGTTTTTCCTCGCATTTCCCAGCCAGGATACAAATTAATCAGGCCAATAAGAGTATTTAAGCGGGTGAAACGGAAAGGTTAGAACAGGGCATGATTTTGCTAGTGTAGCGCACGTTTGCTATTTTATCTTCCACCTGCTATTTTGTTAATCTAAGTAGCGGCTAAGCATTCTGGTCGTTTAGTTAGTCTATGGCTGGTGCAGGTTGCTGAGTCAGTCTGTTAGATTAAATTAAATTGTGTAATCTAGCACTACTTCTTACCTTTTGAATTTATTGTTTAAGTTCTCACCGCAAGTAGTCAGTACTTTTGTGAGCACGAAGTCCGCGCCTTTCTGTTAAAGAGTTGTGATAAATAAAAAAGGGCTTTTTACACACTTTCCCTCTTGTATTCATCTTCACGTCTGCGCGAGAATCCGCAAGGCTGAACTTTGCGATCTAGACACATTATCGGATAACTAAGAAAGTCAGATCTTATACATATACTTCGCCATAACCAATTAATTAATCATTCAGCGATCTCAATAATTTCTTTACCTATGAGTTGCGCCGGTGTCAGGTCTAGTGCCTACGGAAGACGAAAACTTAGTAAAAAATGCTGCAGTGTAAATTTTCCAATAGTTAAATCGTATTTCCTGTGAATTCACTTGCTATGATTTTCATGAGGGGTGGCAAAGTTAGGAAGAGTAAATAAGATTTCACTTAATTGCGCTGTAAGTAGAAACAAAAATTGAGTTATATATCTGATAAATGTCCTGCAATAAACTAAGGGTCATGTTACATAGTATAAATATGGTTCTTCATTCAAGAACAAACCATTAAAAGAATCTGCTCTTTTTTAATTGATACCGAAAATACTCATCGAAATACAGCAAGATTTGCACGAAAATCTGAATGTTCGCGGAAGCTTTTATTTTACGCAATCTTAGCTTCAAAATTTCTTATCTAGCTTAAAATTTGTCTGTACAGAGTAATTCGAAAAGTATGAAGTTGTTTCGTATATATATGTTTTGTATAGAGTAACTGTTTTATGTCTGAAGAATCAACATAGAAGGGTGCCTAACCTTTTGAAGAGTCTGTGCTGCATGTCCCCAAAAAGAAATGCTTGGGGCAGCATCACACGATAAAATTTTGGTATGGACTGCTCTCAAAATTTAATATTTGTTTTTAACAGTTATAAACCCCATTATCTTTGTGTTTGATAAAACACACTTAGATTTTAATTCAAATAAAATTTATTAGAGGAAAATGTGAATGCAATATTTTTAAAAGAACATTCAGTATTTTATCTGAGTACTATTAATTTATATGTAGTTGTTAAAATTGTTTCTTTAAAAAAATGTGCTGTTATTTATTTATTTATTTTTTTTTTTGAGGTTTGTACTGAGTAACATTGCTCACGAGTACATGTGCTTTTGGAAAGAGACGTTATGAATAGGGAATGTTCGTGAAGCGTTGGAAGGTTTTCTTCACGTAACTACAATTTACAAAGTTTCAATATAAATTTTCTTAATGTTGTCTATCTTATTGCAGCAGTATATATTCTACTTGCAAACTGGCTGCAGCAGGTTCCTTCTCATCGTCTCGGTCACTAATCTGTTCAATAAACCTAAAAAATCCGTTTAAATAATTATAGGCTGCTACTACCCTACTTATATGTACTTAGTAAGAGAATAACAGAACTTGGATAACAGTTACATGGAGCGATTTTCGCTTATCTTACTTTTGTTGTTTTTGATTACAGGTTATTTGCCTATGGCAAAATATACGAAGGCTATCCGTTTTAAGAAAGGGATGCTTTTGTGGAGCCTTTTTTAAGAGAAAATGATTTGTACTTAGGAAACTAAGAAACCTCCTATACAACTAGCCATTCACTGGTATTTGACTCGTCAAATTAATAATGTTCAGCTATTTTACCGATGGACCGTTTCTAATAAAAAAATGAATAAAATACTTGACTTCTATTCTAACGTTTACGATGCTATTTTGACTTCATCCCTCATCTGAATGCTGCAATTATAAAAAGCTTCGATTTCGCAGAGAGAAAAAGCAGGATCACATCTCGAACAGAGTCATATTGGCCCATCCGACAGGTTAGAAAATTATCAAACACCTTTAAAAATAATTGACACCACCTGAATGTATTCGAATATTGAAAAATCTCTCTCTCTTTTTTATTTATTTATTTATTTATTTTTTTATTTAGAAACATATTTGATGATTTTCAGGATCTCATACATTAGACATTCTTTCTAAATTTATTCATCTTCAGGAGGAGGAAGCTTTTGAAGTACACCTGTATTGCCATCGAGCTTTGCGTAATCACCTACGATAAATAAAGCAAGTTTAACTACATGATATATAAATGCATAAATATCTTTGTTTTACAGAAAGAGTTATGTAGTCGAGGGATTGCAATCTGCAAAGTCTTTAAAAAAAGAGAGAATAAATTTTAAGCCCTGATTTTGATTTTTAACACCCTTTTCGACTCTTTCTGTCACATATTATTTAATGATCAATGTTATTAGCACTTAAGTAAATAAATGAAAATATTAAAAATCGATAATTTGTAATATTCTTTCAAACATCAAAGTATATTACTACTGGCCATTAAATTGCTTCACTATGAAGGCAGCATGCAACAAATGTCAAATCTGCATGAAAAAGTACTACATGCTGGGATACACAAATGATTACCATTCCAGTATATGCGCATCAAGTAGTAACGCCATCTAAAATGTACAGGGTGACCCAAAAGTCTGTTAACATTTGAAAATTTAAAAATTCATGGAAAAATGTAAGTAGAGAGGTAAAAATTGACACATATGCTTGAAATGTCATGCGGTTTTATTGAAAGCAAAAAAAAGTGCTTAAAACGGCCAACAAATGGTGCTTCACATGATAACAAAGCAATAATTCGCATAATAATTGATTTTTAGCAAAGACTATGTTCTTTATAACAAATATTCAACGTGTCGGCTGTCATTCATCAACAAGGTGAGAAATTGCCGTCGGATGTTGTTTTTTCGCATCCCTAATGAGGCCGGACGATTGCGGTAGACTTGGGATTACAGATAGCTCCACAGCCAATAATCACAGGGATTGAAATCTGGGGATCTGAGAGGCCAAGCATGATGGAAGTGGTGGCTTAGCACACGATCCTCACCAAAAGATATGCTCAAGAGAACTTTCACACCTGTAGCAGAATGGAGTGGAGCGCCCTCCTGCATGAAAGTGATACCTTCCAACAGGTGTTTATCAGCCAGACTAAGATGATGTGATTCTGTAACATATCAGAGTACCTCGCACCCGTCACACCGATAGTTTGAATAGCAGAACACGCATTTCCTCTAAGGAAAAGGGTGCGATCACAATTGATGTGATAAATCAACCATATTTTGATGACCAACACCCAAAGGTGAGGATAGAAAATTGACAAATTATGAAGGAACTGATTCCCTCTCTCACTAGAGCCCATTTCATATACGTTTCTCATGTGGCGTCGCTGAAATTTGTTCCCCAGCGCCATATGTTGGCCTTTTTCCGTAATTTCGTTTTGCTTTCAATGAAACCATATGTCATTTCAAGCATGTGTGTCAGTTCTTACACTCTACCTACAGTTTTCCGTGAATTATTGAACTTTCAAATGTTAACGGACTTTTGGGTCACTGTATATAAACGGGAAGATTACACAGCGGATTTTTCATCTGGAAATCGCTTAATATTGTTTGTCTGTGTAAAGATCGTGTTTTGCCTCGGTTTAAGAAAAAGAAACTCTTTTGGAATTCAACCTGTTCAAGATCTGGCTACGGTTTTCCATGACACTGCTGTTCCTGTTGATTGGAATTCCATCACTGTCAAGCGAATACAGTATCGAAGAATCCTAAAAGGCCCTACTGAACACCCTGCAGGATCTCAGAGATTCTGGGCCACGAAAAAAACAGACATGTTATCCTCTCAGCCTTGCGGGATCGTATAGCGACGTCATTTACCCTGAATCTTGAACTCGGCTCGATAATAAGTGCCCGCACAGTGCGACAACGTCTGCACCGCCACATAATGTGAACACAGCGACCATTGCTGCGGCTTCTCCTGACGCTGTAGCAGAGACGTCTGGGTTTACAGTGATGCCAGGCAGATGGCACTGGACAGAGGAATGGCGCTACGCGGTCTGTTCAGACGAATCCCAGTTCTACGTAAAGCATAATGATGGACGTATTCGTGCATGGAGATACTGGGGAGAACGATTGTTGGCAGCATTCATTCATCATCGTTATACGGGCCTAGCACGGCCTAGCATAATATTTCAAACAGTGACTTTTCGAGTGTTCTTAAGAAGAAGTTTTTTTCGCAATAGTTCTTATAATAGTTATTTTCTACTTATAGTTTTACTTCTGCTTTTTCTGTTTTCACTTTTCCCCACATGTCGGAAGAAAAAAAGAAAAAAAATATCTGAGGATCAAAATGCAATGAAGAAAAAGAAAGCGAGAGGAAGACTTAATAAACCATAACTTTAAAATTAGTTTTTCCCAAACCCAAAGAATACCCAAGCTGACGCTACTAGCACTAGTTGTCTCTCAACGTCTCAGCTGCCATTGAAATTGCCAAAAAGAACTAATAATCAGAACGAGTTAGAAAGTGTTTTCAAACGGGAATTACCTTTAACTCCAATGCAGCCGGTGGAAAAAATGGAAGATATACTAGTGAAATCTACACTTTCTGCAGTAGATACGCATTTGCTGTGTCTGATGATTCCGGATTATGCTCAAGTCCATTATTGCCATCCAAAGTTCAAGCCTTAATAGAAAATGGTCTGGATATCCTGGTTTCGAGTTTCAATTTCCCAAAAGACAATAATGGACGTAAATGTTTTTAGATGTACTTTTTTCGAATCTTGCCCAACAACGAAAGAGTTCAAAAAGTTGCTAAATTCTGCTGAAAAAAAAAATTGTTTTATTGTTTTTATTGTACAATTTTTAACAGTTTCGGAAACGCAAAACTAAGTAGTTCTGAATTTAACGAATGGAACCACTTAAATGAGCACTTGAAACTGCATGAATAAAATAAAATGCATTTCCGGAATCTACATCTTCGGTCCGATTTCTTAGAACGATTACGAAGGAATAAACCTGTTGATTCGGAATTTCAAAATTTATTAAAAAAAGACTAAGCATTGGCGCGATGTTATTGAAAGAATTATCTATGCCATTGAGTTTTTAGCCAAACAAAACTTAGCCTTCCGTGGTTCTAGTAACAAGTTATTGGAAAGAAATAATAATTTTTTAAAGTGTACAGAAATGATCACAAAATTTGACCCTATCATGCCTGTTTATATTAATAAAATTCAAACTCATAACTATGCTTTATTACCTTGAAGATAAAATTCAAAATGAAACAATTAGCTTATTAAGGATAATATAAAGCAAATTATTTTAAGTAAGGCAAAACAGGAAAAGTATTTTTCTATTTTACTTGGTTGTATCCCTGATGCCAGCCATCAAGAGCAGATATCAATTTGTATGAGGTATCTTAATTTAGAAAATACAGACCATGAGTATTGAAGAAAGGTTTTAGTATTTTGGTGTTACAGCAGATATGACTAGTGAAGGACGAACAACATTCTTATTAAAGAATTTAGTGGAAAATGGTTTAGATATTAGTAATTTACCTGGCCAAAATTACGACTATGGCTTAAACATGAGAGGTAAACAGTTTTCGAGTAATTATGCACAAATCGTTGCTTTTCCGAATTAAAAAGTTAACCTAAGTTTAACATAATATGTAACTGCACTTACCATTTTATGTAAAAAAAAAGCAATAACAACAAGCAATCACAAAAAAGATAAATGATGCAACAAATTACTACTATTGGAACAGTAGACACAAAATAAGGATTAAGCAATTTGTCGAATGCATCTAACCTTACATGCACATCGACATCACGTATTTTCACGTTCAAATATGACAGAAGAAACCACCAGAAATGAACTCCTGCTCTGGTTATAACTTTCAAATAAGACAGTGTGCTAGGAAGAACGGGTACTCAGATCTGGCAATCTCGAGGCTGCCTTAACACAGTTAACCCCCCCCCAAAAGCCTAGAGGCGATCCAGGCCGCTAACTTATCGGTTGAGCTGTCGAGCTGAGCTAAGACTAAGCTGAGTCGATAGAAATACTCAGCAACTCACATTCCACGTCCCCGTTCTGGAGGATGGGTAAAAACATTTGCCATCAACAGGGGCCCCAATCCCGGACAGCAGAACGAAGCCACTTAAACACTGTCAGACAGACCGGGTCACCAAGTCGGCCTGCTAATACTACGTCATGGTATACAGATGCCGGCTTTAGGTGCCCCCTGGGGGAAACCAAGGAAGGATATGAATATCTAGATTTGAGACTCCAGGTGGTGCCCACTGAACACTTTAAGCAGTTTAAAGGCTCTCTGAATTCACCAACTCCACCGAAGGGGGTGTTTTGTCTCGGACATCCATGACTATCTGACTATATGGCTCAACCGCAACCAGCTGAACGAACAAGAACGCCATATGGTCCCCGCCGGGTCTGAAACAGCCATCGCTAGCGATGACTCCAGTCCTGCGGAGACTGATTTTAAACACCCGTGGCCTAGACTGCCTAGGTACCGGTCCTAATCAGTAGCTTCCCAGGTTTTATTTGAGTCGACCCCAGAGGGACGTTTAAATAAGAAAAGAATTTTTTTGTTCAGACAGGCAGCGAGACGAACTGCTTGTTTTAATGTTTGCTCGGCGCCTTTTTGACTCGGCGCCGTCGTGCGTAACACGACCTTGCACCTATTGTCGGCGCAGACCTGTTCCAGTCATCTCTTTTTTGCAGAGCCGGTAATGTGGACAGCTGCTATTACGTTCCGTGGCAGTGCTCTATCTTTGAAGCTTACGTGAAGCCACTTTTCAACAGGACACTAATGACAGCATGTTTTCCATGATGTCCTGAATTTCCTTTATATAGAAATTATTCGACTTTTGCTTTGGCCAACGCGTTCTCTAGATCTCTCACCCTTTAAGACCATCGGGTCATGGGCTGCCTAGAGACTGTCATGCTACCACTTCTCCGCCATTATGATTGATAAAGAGGTGAAGTTGCATGGAATGAAGTACATTCATTTGTCATTAAATTTATCTCCATGGCTAGCCTGATTACAGCCATTGTACCCATAAGAGGTGGCAGTTCTGTTTACTGAATTATGCACGCCGTGTACCTCAAATTACATGCAAATTTAATTATGTCTTCCATAATACTGTATATATGTATAATAAATAAGATTATGCTCTTTGCTTCCTGGTGTAATTGTTTTAATGGCCAGCAGGATAATTACACTTACCTGTCTGAAATTTTCTAGTTGCTCCATGCATTCCTGCAATGCAAGGTATGCCATACTCTCGACTGACAACAGCTCCTAGAAAGACAGATACCATATTTTAGCAGATCTAATAACAATAAAAATATTACATACGATATTATATGTTTATTCCCAATAAAACAGCAATAAAATATTATATATTTATGTTTTGAACAATAAAAATATTATACGTTTATTTGTCCAAACATTCTAGACGCAGCTTTCCTGAATCTCACATACTGTAGCCGAAAACTGGGTATATGCGTGTGTTATTGTCATCAGTTTTAAAATTTTGTTATATTTGTTTATAAAACTTTCTTTTATAGATGAAAATATTTCTTTATTCTAACATACTTTATTCAATTCTGCCTTTGTTTATGATTAAAGGAAAGAAGAATAAACAATAAATACCATGAGAAATGAGTCCTCCCAATTCCGTAACGACTCCAGCTAATATCGGAAAACAAGGTGTCCAGCCAATATCTGTGCTGTAGGTCACCAGAATCTCTCCGGGCTGCAATGAAAACACGTAATTAATTAGAAGCCAAAAGCTAGATTTTTAGATGTTAGTGAATTCAAAAACATATTTATTTAAAATTCTTAAAAGCTGAATATCCATCTTTCCTCAACCAAGATGGATATTCAGCTTTTAAGAATTTATTAAAAACTTTATAAGTGTCACAAAAATTTATCTTCTTTAGGTAGTGATACAAATTCTAATCCAGTTCTAGTCAATGTTTTCAAAGTTCAAAACTCTTACTTTTTTCATATTTCATTACCTTTTCTGCGATAGATGGCATTATTTTTTCGTTTTGCTCTCATTTCTACATAAATATAACTGTTGAAACTTCCGCTTTTTCAGATTTTTTTTAACTTTAAGAAAAGAGGAACCTATATTTGGAGTCGATCACATAATCGAGGGAATATGCAAAATCTACAAGAATCTAGCTTTGTTTTCTGTCCAATTAAAAATTTTAAAGATTTCACTTTTTTGTTTTATGTGATTATAAGGTTTAAAATTAAACAAGTTTTAAATTTTTGTTGATTTTAAATGAATTTTGAAAGAACACAGTATCAGCTTCTCTTCGTTAAAATGTGTGTTCAACATTTTCGTTAATAGGTTCGCACAAGAAGGACAGAGAGATACATTAATACCTTTAAAAGACTTGCTTCTTCTAGAGTGATTGCCACGCGTACAAAACCTTCAGCTACTCCTTGGCTGACTGGAACGCCTGAAAAATTTTTTATTGATGGATTAATACCTTAAACCGTTACATATTAGAATTCAGTATTATTTAGCTCTTATTCCGGTTGTACCTTTCATCATAAAATTTTCATCCGTTGGAGTTATAGGAGTATCTACCAAATTAATCTGAAAAAAGAAATAAGTGGTACATCAGTATTAATAAATAAAGCTAATTTTAAGGCATCCATTATATTCGTTCTCTAAAAGAGATTAATGTAATAAAGTATTGTTGCGTGCGTACGGGTTCGTTATGAAATGAATGCACAAGTCCGATGAAAAAAAATGAACAAAAATTTATTATTATCACAACAAAAATGCTTAAATTTTCTCAAATTATCACGCAGTATTACAATATCTCACAGTAGTTTTCTTTTAACTACTCAAATGTCCAATAGAACGTAATTCAAAACAGCTAAAGAACGCTAATCCACGAATTCGCTACAATCAATAACAGTAGTTTTTTAATCAACAACAAACTAAGCAACTCCTACAAACTGAGATGTTTTCCTCCTTTTATAAGATTTTAAAATCACGCGCGAGAATTTTCCAGTACTTTCTCGAAATCAAAAAGAGATATTTATTTATTTAATGCACGCGCTCTTGTATTTTCAATTTTCCGGCTTAGCTTTCTTTTAATATTCGTCACGCGCTGCACTGCGCGAGAAATAAAACCAATTAATTTATAATTGAACTAATATTAGCTTTTTAAATACTAAATTCGTAACACTGCCCCCTTCCCAAGGACTGCACGTCCCGGGCAGTACAATCCCTGGACAGGAAGCTAAATTTACAACTGTGGCATAAATGCAACTGAGGCATAAACATTACATTACAATATCAACAATATAAAAACAATAAATGCAATAACTAACTTGAACAAATCAAATGCTATCAAATACTAAATACAAAACAAATACTAAATACAAATCAAATACTAAATACAAATCAAATACTAAATGCAAATCAAATACTAAATACAAATCAAATCAAATACACATTTATAAACAAAAACGACCATGGTCTGATACTATTTACAATTATTTACATTACGTACTATGGCCATAGTAATGTGCTAACCTGTCGTAATGAACGACTTTAGGTTTAGAGTTCGAAGACTTACGAATCCGAACCACGACGTCATTCAGCCTGTTTAGGACTGTGTACGGGCCATCCCAAGGTGACTGTAATTTCGGACAAAATCCTTTCCGTCGAGTCGGATTCCACAGCCACACCTTGTCTCCTTCGTGGAATTGATGTTCAGTAGCTCTTGTGTCGTATCGGGTCTTCATCTTCTCCGTCGCCAAGTTGACTCGCTCTCGTGCAAAGTTGTGCATCACTTCAAACCGGGCCTGGAGATCTTGAATATATTCCTCAGGCGATGAAGGCGCATCCGTATGGCGATCAAACACATGGTCACAAGGCAGACGAAGGTCTCGACCGGAGAGCTTCTGAGATGGAGAATAGATGGTAGTCTTGCGTTTCTTTTCGACCCTGGTATGATTTCGGCGGCTTCCCGAGCTGGGGTCGTTTCGGACAAGGCGTCGGCATTTCCAAGGTGAGGATCTCTTCTGAGGATGGATAGTCATGTCACCAGAATGCTGAAAGCAGTTTTGTTGTTTTTGAAGTCTAAGGAAAAATTATCCATTTCCGATTAAAAAGTCCAATCCGAGTATGCATGGATCTGTGAATATTCGCCACATAAGCCGCGTGTGATGGTAGGCGGCACTTTCCAAAAGTGATGTTTTCACGTTTAACTTCCCAGTTTATGTCGAATCTTATCACCAGACACAGTCTGAAGGGTAACACAGGATGGCGTCCAAATAAGTTTATCTTTAAAACTGTTCAGCTAAATCTTTCCTAATGATGGTAAACATTAGCTCCTGTGTCAATGATCATATCGCAAGGAACTCCATCGATATTCCCATTAATGGACATTCCGTTACTGTTGCCACTCACTGTATAAATTTTTAAGCGCTTTAAAACAAGGTTTTTCATTATCTGACAACCTCCGTTCCTCGATATGGTCACTAATTTGTTTACTGCGTCGTTGCTGGGAAATGGTCTTATTTTCCGTACCTCGGGATGTTCTGCAATTTCTTCGTATGTGGCCTTCAACTCCGCAGTTCCAGCATTTTAGAATTAGTTTCTTTTCACATATGTTCCGTCTCAAGTCACTGACTTGTCTGGTAAAATCATCTGCTTTATATTCCGTACCCTGGGGCGTTCTGCAATTCCGTCTTAGGTGACCTTCACTACCACATCTCCAACACCTTAGAGCCACTTTCTTCTCCCTCCTACTCCGTATCAAAGCGTCGACTTGTCTGGCTAAATCATCTAAACGAGCCATCAGTTGATCCACTGGCTCATGGACTCGCACAGCTCTAACTGGGTAGCGATCTCTACTAGTTGCTTGTTGGGCTGCCTCGAACTTCATGGCGTACAGCAGAGCGCTTTTCATGTCCTTTACATCTGCCATTCGAAGAGCTTTCTGTATTTCAGGATCTCGGATGCCGTCGATGAAATATTGCAGCGACAGGATTTCTCTTGTTTCTGTCGGGCACTCCGAAAAAGGCGAGGTGGGACAGCCTTTCAACATCCGTGGCGAGCTCCTGAAGTGTTTCGGTAGGCTTCTGTTGACGAGATTTTAATTGGAGCCTGCTGTGTAGTCTTTAAACACTTCTCCCAAAAGCGCAACTCCAAGGCGCCGGACAGAGAGCTTCGAAATCTAACCTTTGTTTTCGGGAAGAGTCTGAAGGATATCCGCTGCGTCGGCTCTTAGAGAAGCGGCGAGATGACAGGCCTTAGCTTGGGAATCCCATCCATTCGCATCCGCCACGATAGAAAATTGTGGTCTTATACACCTGCCAGGAGGTCTTCCCATCATATGTGGATAGCTTCAGAGGTGAACGAGCAGGCATTGGTAAGAATTTAAAATCATCACTCCTGCTCCCTGCCGACGATACGAATTTCTTTAAAGTATCCATTTCTTTGGTAACTGCAGAAACTCTCTCATCAATTTGTTGTTCGATTTGGTGTTGGACAGCACAAACTCTTCCTTCAATTCGTTCCTCCACAGCCGAAACTCTCCCTTCTATATGTTCTTTTACAGAAGAAACTTTTTTTTCTATTTCTTCTTTCACCGAAGAAACTCTTTCTTCAATTTGATCTTTTACGAAAGAAACTTTTTCTTCAATTTGTCCAACTTTATTTTCAACTGTGTCAATTCTGCCTTCCATAGCTTCAAATTTATTTTCTATTATGCAGGTAATTTCTCTTTTCATTTCTTCTTGACATGCTTCAATCTTTCTTGACCAGCTTGAACGGCTTTCATTTCGTCCTTAACGGATTCCTGGCCCAATTTCATTTCTTCCTTAACGGATTCCTGGCCCAATTTCATTTCTTCCTTAACGGATTTGACGGCCCCTTCCATCTTTTCTTGGAAAGCAGCAAATGCAGTCATCATTTGCCTGAATTGTTCTTCCATCGCTCTTGTTATTGGCATTCAAAACCCCACTCCTGACACCAAAAAATTGTTGCGTGCGTACGGGTTCGTTATGAAATGAATGCACAAGTCCGATGAAAAAAAAAATGAACGAAAATTTATTATTATCACAACAAAAATGCTTAAGTTTTCTCAAATTATCACGCAGTATTACAATATCTCACAGTAGTTTTCTTTTAACTACTCAAATGTCCAATAGAACGTAATTCAAAACAGCTAAAGAACGCTAATCCACGAATTCGCTACAATCAATAACAGTAGTTTTTTAATCAACAACAAACTAAGCAACTCCTACAAACTGAGATGTTTTCCTCCTTTTATAAGATTTTAAAATCACGCGCTAGAATTTTCCAGTACTTTCTCGAAATCAAAAAGAGATATTTATTTATTTAATGCACGCGCTCTTGTATTTTCAATTTTCCGGCTTAGCTTTCTTTTAATATTCGTCACGCGCTGCACTGCGCGAGAAATAAAACCAATTAATTTATAATTGAACTAATATTAGCTTTTTAAATACTAAATTCGTAACAGTATTATGTTTATAATCGTAGCTATAATAGTATAATAGTGCACTAATAGCTTTTTGATAAGCGGCTAAAAATAGGCTAAGGGATTTTTTGTTTTGCCGATTAGGTTGGTTTTATTACCATTAGGTAAAAAACATTCATGTCAGAGCTTGATTTTTGAAGGAATAAATGTAGCTATTGCCTCAGACTCGCACTTTCCAGCAGACTTTCAAATTCGCCTGTAGCATTTAAAATATATAAAATTTTATTTATTTTTTTAGTTTTAGGTTTTTAAAATATGAATTTAATTTTTACTTTTAAAGAAAGAAATCAAAAAATAAGATATAAATATGGGACCTTTGTCTAACATTCACGTTCGCCAATGAAATCTCTTACTAAAGCCTAAATTCAGAAAAGTACATTGCTCTGATTTGCACGGCTACACACCATTGTTATGCAATGTATGAGAAGCTGGCATTCTATAATATGTCAAGAAAATATCAGAGTACCTAATATTTTGGCCAAAGTATAAAATATCCAAGCCCTGTATGAAATATCTCGGCATTACGTACAGTGACAAAATGCGCTAATTAGGAAACGTATTCAAATGGAATATTTAAAAGGCTTTTATTGAGAAGTTATGAAAAGATTAAAATGACATCATAGTGATTCAACAGCCAGTAGTTCTATAGGCTGAATTCCAGGCGAACGGACTGGCTGCATGGGCGTTTTCGGAGATTTTCGATATGTAACGTAGATCCAAACAATTACTTTTTTTTTTTTCTTTTTTTTTTTTTTTTTTTTTTTTTTTTTCTTTTTTCTTTTTTTTTTTTTTTTACATTTGATCGAATTTTAGACAATTCATCATAGAGTCGTCTTGCATGTCAGCATGCCGTGATACGATGTTGGACACTGCATCTTACTCTTTTATTTTCATACAGCACAGTGTGGGCTAGAATCATAGCCCCACAGATTCAAAGAAGCATACTTGGTTACTTTTGAACGAAGAATAAAATGCAAGAAGAGAATTCGGAGGAGATGAGTTTTGGAAGTCACATGCTTCATCACCTAACATTAGAAACGTCATTAGTGAGAATATTTTACATCTTTCTGATTTATTTTTTGGCGCTGCATATAATGTCTGGAAAATGCGCTTAATATTAATTTTTTATATTTTGACATCTAGTTTTCTGCATTCTGTATATTACTTACGCATTTTATGCAATGTCTACTTTTCATACATTGCCGATAGAATATGCAAGGCTTAGTGAAAAGTGTTTTTTAGATAGCGCCTCGCTCTATCTGATTCAAATCAGTAGAAATCTGATTAAAGTAAATTGAAATGTAACATAAATTAATGTACTGTAAAATGACAGAAAACTGTTGGAGAGCATTCAGATGGATCCATATTCGCGACCTACCGTCATTGGAGTTAGAGAAAAGTTTGAAGGAGAATGGACTGTTCAGAATGTTCACAGAAATGTTCTGAAGGAGTCTGGACATCAACAAATCCCACAATGCGAGAAAAGATGATGTAGATATATTGCCAGAGTCAAGAAAATATGTGAAGCAGGTGGGTGGCGAGATTAAATTGAATTTGAAAATCGCACGTTCATCGCATTTCACTGGAAAATTACACTGGACGAAAAAAAAAAAAGTGCAAAAGCAGACACTGGAAAAGTTATACTTCAAGAATAGTTCATGTTGTCAGTAAAGCTAATTCAGGTTAAAGCGTCCAGTTTTGCAAGTGAAACTTGGCAGATGTGCAGATTACGCACAGTTTCCAACAAAGAATGTGTAGACAGGTCAGCCAATACTTGAAAGACTATATATGACCAAAAAAAAAAAAGCTATTACTTTCCATACATAATTTTAAATTTATAAAATGAATCATATGTCAACAAACACATTTTATGACCGAATATGCACAGTTTTGAGGCACCTGGTATATATATTGCATAATACGCATTCAATGTAGCTTCACATCTAACAAATTTATCTTAGGACAACACTGATTCTTATAAGAAACATTTATCCTTTTCATGGGAGTCTGAAACCGTGTCTTTCATCTTCAAAGGATACGACTGTTTTGCTCTTCTTCTATTTTATTTCCCTTGAAATTCTCTTATTCTTCCCCTTGAAACGTACCGTCAATACATACTTTTAATTATCTGCTACTGCTTAGTATCACATACCGTCAACTAAAGTTTGGATATTCCTTAATTTAAAATGTGAAATTGATGTGCTATTAACATGTTAAGCATTTCAACAATTTGTGTCACGCATTCAACTGCATTAAGAAGGAAATAGATTTTATTTTATTATCACGCGAAATATATGCATTAATTTATACAGAAAACAGTTTGGAGCTAAGTTAGTTAATGTTTCTATAAAATGGAGGAAAAAAATCAAATTTCAAATACGCTTACTAATTTAGTTTCCATTATTAAAGTAGAAATATTGTTAAAGTATAATAAAGTATTTTTGTCAGTACCAAAATTTAACTATTGCTTTTATTTACTTTTAATTTTGAATTTAAAAAGAAGTCAGAGTCTCTTAAGCATACTGTTAAAATTTAACTTACAGGTCTCGGTACGCCCTTCATAATTTCTGGAAAAATATATTTGTTCAGAACTGGATACCTCCTTTGTCTCTGAGCTGCTCTAAAGAAGAAAAAAATTTAATGTACAACATTTGTATAGCAAGGTACGAAAATTTCGTTTTTTTAACGAGATTTCATTTCTATAAATTTGAGAATTATAAATTGCCTTTCTCGAAGGTTTTTTTGTAAAACAATTTTTTACATTTGATGTTGAAAATTACAATATTTTTTTCAATTATATTCGTAATTCAATTATCCTTCATTAGTCTGCGGAAAACTCGATATTAGTTCGCTTTGTGGTTGTTGTTTAATAGCACAATCTGTTGTCTAAGGAACTTTATTTGGGAAAGCGGTAATTAAGCTATGGGGTTGTCTCAATGTATTTGAGGACGGTAAATGACCTTGGGTCTCAAGCCAAGGTGTGTGGTTTAGAAACGACAAACGAAACACCTTACTGTAAGGCAAAAACACATTTTGGCCTCTGAAGACGAAATTTAGATCTGTTTTCTAGAGCGAACTCTGACTGGTCGCCGAGCATTTATTTCCTTTATTAAAAACTATTTTTAAGGTACAAATCTGTCTTAAAACCACGTTCTGGCGAATCCGCTTGCGTGTGTTAGCACGCAGAAGGATTCACTAGCATCTCATTAACATATGGCGCGCGCTACTACCTAATAAAGTATAACGGGCGCTGAAAACTGCTTGCTGAAACAGTTGATAAATACAAACAAAACGGAATTTCCAAAAATAATCGGTTACGATTATAATGATAACCTAAAAAATAATGTTTAAAATGTAATGATATGTTTTAATGTTTTTAATGAATGTTTGTTAATGATATTTATTTTAAATGATAATGTAAATTTAAAAAAAGTTACAAATAAACGGCAAAACGAAAATTTAAAAACGAAAAAATTATAAAATAAAATATAAGACTATTTTTATTAGCTTGATTCGCACTAAAATGTATGAAATAAAATAATTATATCACTTCTCCTCACGGACTGGAGAAAACGGCGTTCGCCAAAGTCCTCATCTCCTTTCTTCTAGCTTACAAGCAAGATTGCTACAGATATCACTTCTTAACCACAACACTCAAAAATTTCAGTTGCTGTTAATATTTTTACAATTATGTTCATTCTAAAGTAGCCAATAAAAATTAAATTAAAATTCTGAGAGAAGATAAAAACCGTTCATAAAAAGCTTTATAAAAAGCTTTATAGCGCTTACTTTCTTCTCTCAAAATTTTAATTTTAATTTTATTAGCTTCTTACAATTAACATAAATATAAAGATATTATGAGCAACTGCAGTTTTTTAGCGTTGTGGTCCAGAAGCCATATAATTATTTTATTTCATACTTTTTAGTGCGAATAAAGTTAATGGAAATAGCCTTGGATTAAATTTTTTAAATTTAATTTTACAGTCTTTTCAGTAAATAATTCATAATCATATTCACATATAAAGATAACATAGGAAGCAATAAAATGAAAATGAAAATAAGTACCTGGCTAGTATTTTCGGTGACCGTGTGCCTAGTAACTCTTTGATTTCGTCCATTGTCATGAAAAACAGAATATCCTCTTCAGGGATGCGTCCTTCAAGCACAAGGAGTTTAGCGAGATACCGGAATGCTTTCCGCCACTCATCAGTTGTTTTTATATACATAGACTGCCATAAGAAAGGATTTCATAATAATGTGAAAAGGCTTTTCAGAATGCTTTTCACTAAAATAAAAGGCTAAGGATATTTCAGTGATTCTTATTTAAATTTTAGATTAATAAATTAAATTTTACGTGTACTCTCAGTCTTTTTATTAAAATAAACTCTGAATTAACGTAACAAATATTATCAGTTTTTAAAAATTAAATGTAGGTTACTTTAGTCATTTCTCGGTTCTGCACACCGCGGCGGCTCATGGGCAATAATAGTTTCAACATGAATCTGAAAAACAAAATTCTTATTTCATTATTGATATCTTCTTCAACACAGGTAAGAATAAATTACTGATGATACGAAAGTATTTGCTGAGTGTTTCCAAAACTTCTGAATCATTACGCTGCTATGCACTGATTATGTACTTCAATTTTTATGTCTTGCATTTGCGCTACATGTCAAATCTGTAGTTTATTGTCTGCAAAGCCAGGTAAACAACCAGTTAAATTATTGCCAGTAGCCGTCGATCTTTAATTCCGTTTTTAAATTATAACACTGCTTAATAAAACAAATGTGTTCATATCAAGATTTGTGACCTGAAAATTTTTATTCTTTACAAAAAGCAATTTTCGACCTGATAAGGGCAGTCCTATGGCGTTATTGGCGATATAAATAGACTGTTATGTAAATCGGTAGCTTCTTTCTGGCTGATTAGGTTATAAAGGAAAGGATGAAATAAACTACAGGCAATGTTATGCAAATATTTTGCTGAAAAAAGAATTATAATTTCTTGGCCTTTGCATGACATTAATCTTAGCTAAATTAATCAGAAAATCCAACTGAAAGTTGCATGTACAACATCATCTCCACATAAAGATGCCAGCACGTTTCTTAGAGCATTGCTATTCGAATTCCTTGCTTTTATGCATACCGGAGAATCATCTCAGAGACTGGCACTGTTATCTAACTATTCTTCAGAAAAGTAATAAATGCATTTCACTTAACTTTTACAAGACACAGTATGCTATTTCAAATATAAGGGTAAAGCTTCATAAATACCTGGAAAAGAATCCCACTGGAATAGAAAGCCGAGACAGTATTTCACTTAAGTTGTCCGAGTGCTTCCTTGAGAAATCTTGAGATACATTAGCAGCTAGATTCTGAAACAATTACATGCGATTGATGTGTATATGTTATATTGATTCTGAAACAGTTATATACAATAGAAGTCGTTTAATGTGATCGCTGTTAATGTTTTCATTTGGATCGAACTGCTGAAGACCCTCTCGTTTGTTTATGAAAACAGAGAAAATACATTGTTTATTGTGATAAAGCATTAAGTTAATATTATTTAAGTATAATCTTTTTTTTTTTTTTTATTTTTTAAAGTAGCCAAGTAAGAAATAGAGTCGAAAGATATGGTCAAAATAGATTGTAGAAATGGGTAAGGTCGAAAAACGTATTCCAGATAAGGGATTACGTCACCAAACAGCTTGTTTTCAGTTTTATCAGCTACACTGCTGGCCGTTAAAACTGCAGTATTATGAAAGAAAGCAAATACAAAAAAGATATTTATTGCATGTAAACAGTATGGCATGGAGACAAAATGATTAAACTTGTAAGCAGTTTGGGGTTTACAAGAGTGTGAAATTAATAGAAACAGCTGCCAGCCCTGGTAGCTAAAACGGCTCTTACCCGGTTAGGCATGGAGTCGAACTGGGCTTGGATGACAGAAATGGGCAACTCATTCCATGATGCTTCACGTCTGTACCGCACTTCATCAATTGCTGCAATGGGGTGGCCGACCAGTCTCTCAGCAACCCATGACCAGATGTTTTCAATGTTATATAACCCTTGATCTTAATATTTGAAGATCATACATCATTTACAGGAAGAGAACACAAAAATGTAGCAGTGGAATACCCTGTGTATTAAGGAAGGTCAGAACACAACGTGCAACATGGGGTCTTGCACGTTATCAGCCAATAAACCACAACGAGCAACATCTTACTTGTTGGAAGATCTCGTTTCGCAGACCTCAAATATAGTGAAAAACCAGTGGACATAAGATGTTAGAAATATAACGGTCTGCGTTCAAATTACCGTCGATCCGAACTAGAGATGTGCGTGTCGTGTACCCAATGGCTGTCCAAACTGTCACACCATTTATAGGACCACTATCCCGATATCGAATGTAAGCAGACAACGTGCGGTCTCCTCGGAGCCTCCAGGCACTTATACGGCCATCATAATAATTTTTTTTTTAACTTTTACACTATTAAGGAGGACTACTGGTCGGGAACAAGCCCTTACAATATGATGTCCGCTCTGCAGAAGGCATAACGGCATTTATTGAGTTTAAATTAAAATGGCTGAACTGTAAAACGCAGCTTGCAATCTTCGGGAGCCTGATACAATGTAAGTTATAAGTGCCGAGTGACACTGATATGCTAAACTACGAACCACTACTCTGTATTATAACAGTGGTGAGCAGTAACAATGTTGCTGCTACGTCAGTCCTGATCGTAAGGCTGTCTTATTGTAAGATTGTCACACTTAAGTAGTTCAGAGTTCTTTTACACTACTGTACGTACAAAAGACGTGTTAGATAGCAACACTAAACCACCATTATACAGCTCGTTTTCTTTCTATGTACAGCTATATTCTTGCTAGTACATCACACGCTTACAAGAAAGCATAATATACGACACACTTATTGGAATACCATGCAGCAGGGAATACATTGTAAGAGCTTGTTCGCCGTCACTCTCTATGCTGCATTGGCCTTGCACCTGGTGTGATGTTTTGGGAAACCACTGGGGGCACGGCACGCACGTCTCTAGTTTCGATGGACGACAACTTGAACGCAGATCTGTACATTTCTGACATGTTTCGTCCAGTAGTTGTGCCCTATTATCGAGACCTGCCAAACGCCATCTTTCAACAAGATAATGCAAGATCACATGTTGCACGTCGTGTTCTGACTTTCCTTAATAGACAGGATGTTCGATTGCTGCCCTGACCTCCATGGTCCCATTGGAATCATCTGGTCATGGGTTGTAGACACACTGGCCCGCCACACCTCTCCAGCTAATATGGTTGATGAAGTGTGGCGCACACTTGAAGCAGCATGGAATGAGTTGCCCATTTCTGTCATTCAAACCCAGCTCGTTTTCATGCCTAACTGGGTAAAGTCCGTTTAAGCTGCCAGGGGTGGTAGCTGTTTCTACTAATTTCGCACCTCTGTAAACCCTGAAACTGCTTATTCATATTAATTTAATCATTTTGTTTTCATGCCATACTGTTTACGTAAAATCAATACCTTTTTTTGTATTTGCTTTCTTTCATGGTGTTGCAATTTTAATGGCCAGTAGCGTAGTTCACCTGTGCGTTAGGTTACAAGAAATGTCTGTAAGCGAGATCATGAAGAATTCATTTGGTCTGAAATGTTGCAAAGAACAACAATTTGAAGGAAATAAAATTAAATTTGTTTCAGTTCTGAAATTCTTATTCCGTTTTTAAATCAAAACTTAAAGAAATTTTTTCTGGTTTTGATGAATGTATGATGGAAAAAAAGTAGTCGATTCACGTCCTAAAAATTTTTCTGGCGTTCCTAGGAAATAACAAATTTATTTCAGCTTATTAATTATTATTCAGTTTCTGAAGGAAAAAAATTAAAGAATTTTTTCTCTCTCTGCCAGGTGATGGAAGAACATAGCCTATCCGCGCCCAACGCATTCTTCTAACAGCAAGAAATAAAATTAACAAAATTATTTCATTTGTAAAATTATTTTTTTAATTTCTTAACTAAGTAATAATAATAAGTATTTTTCATATCCCCTCATCTATTTGATAGATGATGGAATAACGTAGCCCAGTCGCCGTATACATTCTTCTAGAATTTAGTAGCAATGATATAAAAAGGTGTCGGATGCTAGAAATGCACCAGACCGATTGTGGCGTCATTGCTGTCAAATTATACACGTTTTGATAATATAATTACAATATTATATATATATTATATTTTAAATTAATATTTTTCAAGGAATTTACCTGTAGCAGCTTCACCAACGACTTCGGATCAGAACCCCACGAGATTGCGTAAATGTCATACTGGGAAAAAATAAATAAAAACATTGGAAACTGAAAAAAGTGTTCAAATTACAGCCTTTGATTAATAGAAGCTCTTTCTAATTTGAGAAAAACTATACCAAAGTAAAATTTAAAATTTAATAGAAGGCAACCTAAGCTTAATACTAGCTTTGAATTCATGAGCTTCTTCAGGTTCAATTTTTTTTCCTGGGATTTGGCAGCATAACATCTAAAAAAATTACTATTAAAAATTTTAAAAATTAAAAATAAAAATTGTAAAATATAAAAATTCCAAAAAAATTCTGTTGCAATGTAACATATGGCTTTATAAAACCACTTTAGTAATTACAACTCTGCTGCAGATATTCTTAAAAATTATTAGTTGGATGTGCATATAAATTAAATATATTTTACTTTCATATTAATTATATACATTATTAAAAAGAAAAATAAAGGTTTAATTTACTTTAAAATGCTTTTAAACTGCTCAGTTTATTAGTCTATGATTGATTGGATCCAATTTCAAAGATAAATGGAGCATCCAAATAATTCTGCTCATGAGAGGGCCTAAAAGATATATTAAACGTTTTATGCTCCTTGTATTGTTGACTCTTGTCAAAGACGCGTACATTATACAAGAAATTTAGGCACACGATAGCAAATTTGAGGTAACTGGCAAAGTTATGAGTTAGCTCAAAATTTCCGTGAATATATGTAGTTCAGTTACATATTTATAACAAGTAATTATAGTAAACAAAATATATTTATCTATATATTAATTGCTTATTATATGAACTACATTTGGTGCATTAAAAAAATCTGACATTGATAAGGGACAGGCCTTTTCTGATTTTCATATACAAGCTCCGCACGCATTTTCTGCAGCTTCAATTCAAAGGTTAAGCGCGCCAGATTAAAATAATTATTAGCAGCCCAAGATTGTATTTTCAGATTATTATGCAAGTAAGTATCAGTAAGGACATTATGATAGCTAGAAATTATTTTTTGCTGTACCACGTTCAACTAAGAATTTGTAATTTATGAAAGGTTGTTTATAAATGACATTTTTTATAAATTACTTTTTTTACATATTTTTATGCTTTAATTTATAATATATGTGTTAAAATATTTTCTAATGCCATTTACTTTCTTAAATAAATTTTATGATAACAACGACAATAATCTATCAATAAGTATTTGAACACCTGCGATAGAAAAGGAAAACAAAATTTAATCATATTCCATTGTTGGTAGAGCATCCACAAGTGGCAGTTGCAGCCTCAACTCTCTGGGGCATGCTTTTCATAAGCTCTTGTATGATGGTTATTGGTATTTTCCTCCACTTGGTTTGGTAAAGATATGTAAGTTCCTTCACAAATACTGGACGATTGTCGCACTCTTTAATTCAGCAATTCAACTCGTTCTAGAGGTTCTCGATAGCGTTCAGGTTTGGGCAGGTCAGTACATTCTTTTAACTCCATCTTCAGCATTATAAATCCATGGTGGACCTCGCAACATGACAGCTGTCTGTTATATCACGAGAGTAACATAGGTCCAACACGTAAAACTGTCACAAGGTAGGAAGCACACTGTCATCCAAAATAATAAAGTAGGCATCCACAAAGAGTTTAGCATGAATTTGAACCAATTGTTTACTACATACCAGGGGAAACACCTCCAGATCATAATTCCTCTTCCGCCGAACTTTGGACACAACGTATTTTGGCAGGAGGCGTTCTCCAGGCAGACGCCAGACTCAGACCCTGCCATCCGAACGAGAGAGGGTGAACCTTGATTCGTTGTTCCAGATCAAAGGATTATGGGCGGAAGCACGATCATGAAAGCGAAGTAGATGTGCTTTCTTACGAATAGCATTCATAGAAACAATACTCCCAATTTCCTGTTAAAACTCCGGAAGTATGTGGGCCATCGATAGGGTGCAGTTCTTCTGAATTTCTCTAGCCAGCACCCGTCCATCCCTGTCTCCCAGTTTCGTGGGTCTGCAACTCGGGGCACTTGGAACTGCCGACTCGGGGCAAGGAAACCAATTGAAAAGACTTTGATAAAAATTCCTAGACAAGGTTTCGTTTCAGTCAGAAACCGAGTGTAGGAAAAAATTAAAATATTCAGTTTCTCTATGGTGGGACCACAGGAGCCCACCTGTGGGCGAGCGGTAAAGTCGCTGATAGTTCGATCCGCGGTTCGAATCGGGCTGGCTGTACGGGCGTTTTCATGGTTTTCTCTATGTGCAAAGTATATACAAGTTTCGCTTAGAAAATCTTCCACGAAGATACCCCCCCCCCTTTAGGCAGATAGCTCACGAATGCTTTTGCCATAATCAAATCGTCTAAACCTGGTTGAACCACAGAATTCTGGTAACTCGACCTGAGTTCAAACCCAGGTGAAAATCTCAGTTGCATGTTTGCTTTTCATAGTTTTCTGCATGTGTAACAGGGATACAAGCCAGTCTCCTTTAAAAAACTCTCCGCAAAATCATTTCTGCCCTTAACCAGATAGCGTTTGTGTTCTTGGCCGTATTACAGTAACGTAACCTAACCTCTTACTAGTTGGAAATTTATTAATAGTTGAGTAATAAGCCAGTTAAATCCTGTTAGCGCAATATCGGGCTCCGTTCAGGCTGAATGCATGTTTTTTTTTTCCCGAAATGATACATGAACATGAGAGCCAATTTACTTTAGAAAGTCCTCTACAAAGAAATCGTTCCTTAGGCAGTTTTATGTGCATGGGTTTTCAGAATAATTTGACCAACCAAATGATTATGTCATTTAACTGATCAAATTTGACATTTGATTTAATTGATTCCAAACTGATCACCTTTTTAATGAAGTTATTTTCGAAGCGTAAACTGCGGAATTTGACGTAGGATGTTTGCTTTTCACGCATTACATTAGTTAATAAATACTTTTGTAACAGTAATGGAGAAAATTTCCCGATTTGATGGTTCAGAAATATGCTTGAAATATCAAAGAATACGTACTTCACCCAAACATCTATGGCCATGTCTCTCCAAAAATTCTCGGAATTTTCTTCCTGCCATGCATGTTGTTGTTTGTAGCCAATTCAAAGCTTCCTATGTGAGAGAAAAACGTCAAGACAAAATTTATTGTAATCATCATTATCATCATATATTAAAAATTATTATTTCAAGATGAAACATAATTATTTATACATCACATATATTTTATCATTATTTTTGTTTTCTGAGATTTAATATCAATTAGTTTGCTTTACATAATAAAATTTATGCCGCATATATCAATTAGCTTCCTTTTTTTCAATCCATTCTCCTTAGTTTTTATTTTATTAATCTTTGATATCAAATTCATGAGGATCCGGATAACACAAGCAAAATCCGAGTTAATTTTGTTTTTGTTTTACTGTAGGGATTTTCATATTGGAAAGTATTTTCACAGAAATAAGTAATTTCGTGAAAGTTAATGAAAATGTTACGCGAATACAAGATTCCTAAAATTAAAAATCAAACCTCTTAATAAAAATTAGTATACATAAAAATCCCCAGTCTGCTTTAAAAGTAAATGATAAATCTGAAATTAATTGAATAAAATAATAATTCTGTAGAGTCTCACTCTTTTAGGTGAGAGCTAAGACTAAGACTCTTAAAAAAGACGCAAGCGAATCATCCCTATGGCTAGAATGAACACAGAAACGTGAGAAAGATGTAAAAGACCCTTTTATTAAGAACTCAATGTAGCTGAGCGGAAGGCATTTCTTGAGCTTACAACTTTTTGGGGTAATTCAAAAGTAAGGAATTTCATATTATGTAAAACTAAATCTAAGTCGTAAATTAGCCAAAGGCTGCACAGAATTAATTAACGTTCAAGTTGGCTCAAACCTACGTGACAAGCACTATTGAATTGAATAACGGAACACCGAAGACAGACTGCTATTGTAGAAATTCAGCTAGTAACGTAGCTTCCCAGCAGGCAGAATGTGATCTGTCTGTGCAATCCAAACCTTCTTTTAAACTACCATTTTTCTGCAACTAATGTTTGCATTCTGGCAGGAAAACGAAAAGTGAGAAAGACATAAAAGCTGCTTAACATAAAATAACTGATTAGATAAAGTATATAAATACCCTACAACTATTATACTGTTACTTGATAAATTACACTAACGCTAATGTGTACATGACACACTACTGTGTTTCAGGAATACATGCAAACGAATTGTTAAAAAGAGAACACGAATCCGTATAACAAAAGCAAATCCGGAGTTAATTTTTTGTTTTCGGTAGGGATTTTCATACTGATAACATCTCGATATATAAACAAAAACATATTTTACTTCTCCGTTAAGCTTTAACACTCACTGATGCTGCATTTCTTGCACAGGGATGAATTTACACATACCTATACTCATAAGAGCTATTATAGTGCCTTTACTTGTCAAATCTTTGTTCCAGACACATACTTCTAATTATAAAACGTTTTATATAAGAAAAACATTCCTGTTATGATATATTTACGTTAAAAAACTAATTTTGTAAAAATCAAAAAATTATATATTTTCTACTGTTCGCCTAACCCTACAGTTATGCTAAAAGAAACGTTTATATTCATCTTAAAAAATAAAGTACGAAACGTTTGACTCCTGTACAGCAAAAATTTTCCGAGATATTTAATTTTAAATTTTAACTTCGTGTACAGGGGTCGTACATAAACTGAAGAGTGAAATGTTTGCATTGATGCACAACTAAAAATGAATACCAATTTAGAAACAAGGTTATGATGTTAATAATCATAAAGTAATCATAGTAATCTTAATTAAGTGCATAGTAATCTTAATTTAGTGTTAATAATCATAGTAATCTTTGCAGACTATTATGAAAAATATTAATCAATATACATTTTTTCCAAAAGGAAATCTTATTCATAGATTCTTATAGATTTCACATTCTAGAAAATGCAGGCAGGCTTCAGTATAAATACAGACCCAACTCGGAACATTATTTACATAAATTGAAAATGAAAATTATTTCTTAGTTTAATAAATTTTTGTATGATTATTAGATTATAATTCTAAACTGAGAAAATCTGCTCGAGAGTATAAACATGTTTTTAGCTTTTGGAAATTAAAAAATTATTTCTGCGAAAATTTCTTTCCCTATTCCATAAGATTAAGAATTAAAGAATGCCACGCATTAGAAAATCACAAAATTGTAACATTAAATGACATTAAAAGGAAAAAAATCAATCTCAAATTACTCTAATTTATTTTTTTTTTATGACGATTTACAGAAATCTAAAAATATGCTAACGCGATGTATATTTAAAATCGGATTTCTACTGAATTGCACAAACGGCTTTTACTGTCAGGTTACATTCTTCACATAACTGTCATCCAAATGACGCGTCTATAAAAATTACAAGTCCTGGCAAACTGCATTCTCCTTTCAGGGCGTGTTTCCTGCGTTTTCAATAGCTTATTTATTGAATCACTGGCAATTATTCGCAACGCGTTTTGCAGCTCTTGTAAATCTTTGGCATAATTTAGAACATTGCAAAGTTGAAAATTTCCACATAGCAACTTGTGACCGCTTGCATTGAAAGTAATATTGGTAGTATATTAACATATGGTTGTAAACTTAACTTCAGATTTACCTGTAACGACACCAATGGTTATCTCATAATCACGGTTAAGCCGGCGGCAGTTATAAATATAGAAAAGAATATTATAATTAATAAAAAATAATACTAACCGTTGTAATTTCACATTCAAGCAATTTAATCCGGAGAATAAGTTTATTTAGTTATATCAATATTCAAAATAAGAAGAAACACACTGAAAATGTCTGAAAAATTAACGTCATTCGAAATAAAGAAACTAAAATATTACTGATATTAGAAATTATTAGTTTATGTAGTATTCGTAAATTATTAGTTTGGTGATATTAGAGAACAATATTGCTACGAATTTTGTAAGTACATTTTAGTGAAATTATACCCAAATTGTAATATCTCTTTTTGTAAATTAACATAAAATGCCTCAAGAATGACAATATACGCTAGAAAAATAATGTACCTGGGCAAATCCATTTAACATTGAGGTTAATGGCTATCTCCCCAATTTGGCAAAATGGCACCAAGCTGGCGACGGTTTGGGCGACAAATATTTGTTACCAAATTTGGCAAGAAATCACAAAGATTCGCCACAATTGGCGGCTATTTGGCAACATTTTTGTCGGATTTCTTTATAACTGTAATCGGTCGGTTCCCTATATGTACTATATGTATTCAGCCCTATATGTAATTATAAATGCCTTCCAACAGTTTCGAGAAATTGAAGGTACTGAAAAGTTCTCGGCGGACGGAGGGAAACTATATAAAACCAGAGAGAGCATCAGTTCTTAGTTCAGTTCAGATTTGAATTCAGAGTTTAACTCAGAATACTGAGAGATCACTCTGTGAGGTTACACATTCCGGCTTTGTACACTCACGTTTGTGAAAATTGCAACACCAAGAAGGAATCGTCATAATTGAATGCAATTTAATACACAGTTGAGTGGTAGTGGTACAAATAAATGATTAAATGTTCAAAGCAAACAAACAAGAACAAGAGATCAGAATCAGTATTTTGTGTGGCCACCACGCGCCGCAATAAGTGCTGCTACACGACGTGGCATGGAGTCAAACAAAGTTTGAATGTCTGACTGAGGAAGAGCATTCCATATCGTTTGTACGCGTACCCAAAGTTCGTCTGCAGACGCAACAGGACGAGGATCACGAGCAAGACGCCGACCAATGACATCCCACACATGTTCAATTGGCGACATATCCGGGGAACACGCAGGCCAAGGAAGAAGCTGTACCTGCTGCGCTGCAAAGAAGGATTTAACAATCCGAGCAGTAATGAGGGCGGGCATTGTCCTGTTGAAATACAGCGCCTGGCAAGCTTTGAAGGAAGGGAACAGCTTCGGGCTGTAGAACTTCACGGATATACCGGTTGCTGTTCAGATTGCCCACAATTCGTAGCATTTGAGATCGTCTATGATATGCTATGCTATGGCGCCCCAGACCATAACTCCGGGTGTTTCGTCCACTGTGGCGTTCGATAATGCACCTCCGGAAGGTGGCGTTCACCGGCATAGCGTCTGACACGAATGCGGCCATCATGGTATCACAAATTAAAGCGGGATTCGTCAGAAAAAACACGACATGCTGCCAATCAGCACGCCAGTCTCTATGCTGATTGGCCCATTGTAGCCGCAGGCGGCGATGGTCGTGCGTTAGGGCGATCCTGTATAAAGGAGTCCGTGCGCGCAGTCCACACTGCAGCAGACGTTCTACGAATTGATGAAGCACACAATGAAACACCTGTAGCTATTGACCACAGTGCTGCCAATTGTCTAGAGGAAGCTGTACGGTCCGTCCGCGCCATGCGGACCAGGTGTCTATCATCGCGAGCTGACGTCACATTTCGGGGTCCCCTCCCGGATTTCCGAGTTGTCCGACACTCGTCCGTCCACTGCTTCCAAACGCGCATCACTGTGCTGCTGTTACGCTGCACACGAGAGGCTACTGCACGATACGACAATCCAGCTTCACGAAGGCCGATGATTCTCCTCGTTCAAACTCTGTAAGTTGTTCAAATCTCGCTCTCTTTCGTCGACGAGGCATAAGTACAGATTGAGTTTAACGTTTACCACTAGCAGATAACCACCGATAACCATACACGCCTCGCTACAGCCGTCTATTTATTCGGATCCATCAGCCGTTCAGAGGGCGCTGCTCAGCATACGCATGCGCTACGGATTTGCAATTCTAATCATTTGCATATCATGCGCTACTTTGCATTTCCTGAAAATTTCAGCTCACTCGCGTAAGTCCTTCATGGTGTTGCAATTTTCACAAACGTGAGTGTATTCAATCTATTACAAATCCGTATGCATGTAACATTATCTACGAAAGAATTTGAGAAATGAATAAATGTCTATAACAGCATATTTTGTGCCATTTCGCAATTCACAGCCTCGACATATTTTAGGAACAGCGGAATTAATCTGCCCCTAGTTAATCAAGAGTTGATTTTGTTTTCAAAGGAGTTTCATCCTTGTTTAAAAGTAAGATAAATTTTAAAAGTTATTTTGAGAGATAAGAAAGAGGAAGGATACATTACCTCAACGCTCATTTGTTGGAACTCATTCACATCTACTACTTTAGAAATATCAAAGGCAATACTCTGAAGAAAAAAGCAACAGTATTGTCACAAACATTCTCTACATTACTACTACATAGAAATTTATTGGCTTTGAAGTTTAATAGTTGTACTAGTGATTTCTTAAATTAAATCTTGGATTAAGTATTTGCATAGATTAACTACTTGGATGGTATAATATAAGTTCATTTGTTATGAGTAACTTCTTTTTATCTTTACCTACCTGTATAGCGGAAGGCACATCAGCACTTTCCACATCACTTTTGGTAGTTATGAGAGAAGCAAACTCTCGATAAACTTCATCATTAAATCCTAAAATAATATTAAAAGACACAATTTACATGGTATTTAGTTACACATCATGGAAAAGTACATATCAAGCGAGAGAAAAATTTAATTCTGTCTGAATTAGCCCACCAGCGGCCGAGCGGTAAAGTCGCTGAACACTGGTAGTTCGGTCCGAGGTTCGAATCCCGCGAACGGGCTGGCTGCATGGGCGTTTTCGTGGTTTTCTCCATGTGTAACGTGTATACGATCCAGTTTCCCTTAGAAAGTCCTCCACGAAAAGGCATCCCTCCCTTTAGGCAGATAGCCCTCGAGGCTTTGCCATAATCACACACACACACACACACTGTCTGAATTAAATCAGAAGCTGTAGAATAAATGCTTCATGTTCAGAACTAGACGAGAATCCGCTACGATATTATCGAAGAAAAAACCGAAAGAAGGTCTGGTATTCATTTATTGAGTTTTTGCATAAAGTTTCAAATTATATAGAAATATTTAAGAGATGATGTAAATTCACACATGATTTATTGCCTCAAAAGTTGAATTCTGATCTATGCTTACAGCTAATGATTATTACTGAAAGTTTTAAGACGAGCTGCCAAAAATTAATCTGGGCAGTATTTATCAATGTTTTGAACTGTCTATTAATTTTTATAAATGTGACTTATAGAAAAAACGAGATATTAAAGAAGCACATGCATTCATGAAAGGGCTTAGTACAAATACACGATCCCGCAAAATCTTCGCGTGCTTTAGTATATCAGAAAAGAGGAAAAATAGTTAAAAGTTTATTAAGAATTCGCAGTTTTCATGAAGAATAGGAACAATAATGTAAATTTAATTAATTAATTAATGTAAATTAATTTTAAAAAATATAATTAAATTAATAGTTTGGTGAAAATTTCAGCATGCATTACGCAGACGATATTAGCTATCCTGTAGTTTCACTAACAAATTTAAGCTAACTTTACATCTCTCATGTATGCAGCATTACGTCACGGACTGGTTCATTCGAGAACATTATGCGGATTTGAGTTACAAGCAATTTAATATTAAAAATGTTACAATGTTAATGTTACAAGCAATTTAATATTAAGTTAGGAAAAATAATCATAACTATATGAATTGTATTGGATCAACTTTTGGATTTACGGAACCCCAAAATAACGGAATTATTTTTACGTAATCATATTATACACTACAATGCACATTTTCATTCCCTTCAAAATTTTCTCCACCTGTTTGGATGAACTCTTCCCGAAGTTTTGCCCACTGCTGAAAACTTGAAAACTTGTCTGAAACTCTTGACACGGAATATTGTTCATGATAATCAACTTGTTTTCTCGTACTTCATCCACATTAATGAATTGCGTTTTTATCTACCGAATTCCTCTCTCCTTTCTTTATCCACGAGAACAGGAATAAGTGGCTCTGAGCAAAAGGTTTGGTGAAGTTTGTGTGAGACACAAGCGCCATATTGTTCTTTCTCAAGAACTGCTGGACAAAGAAAGTTTCTTCAAAAATCTGATGAATCGTTTTTAGATGATCTTCATCAACAGTCTGTTGTTGTGTGATATATCGCCTTTACGAAAAACCACTCCTACCCTTATGATTAGTCAAAGCATCACCTTTTGTTGTAAGTTTTGCCGAAGCATGGCTATAGTCTCAGTTGCAGGGTTTCAAAAGAAATACGAAGTTTCACAATCACACGTTTTTCTCGTCGGTCGCCCATCATGAAAATAGCACGATGTTGATAGCAGAAACGCACACAAATCAAGGCCGAGGACTACCCGCTCTGCTCATAAAGAAGTCACTCGGCAAATATTCGAGTGGAATCCTAAGCTAAGAAAGCCTATGGGCACTATCCGTAATTACAAAGTTTCTTACTTGCAGAGTTTCCGTTCCAGTTATATATAATTCACTTTCAAAATTATCTGATGGAGCAAAAAAGAGAGTATATATGAGATATAATACTTATCAATTTTGAATTGAGAAAAACTCTTCGTATACTAACCTCCGCTGGCTTTCGCAAGGATAGCCAAAATAAACATATTCCATAGTGTTGATGACTCGGTACTCTTCATAAGGCTGATGGAAACCTAAATGGCAGTTCGATGAAATTAGGGTAAAATATAAACTCAGAAATGATCGCTTGCGATATACAAATTTAGAAATAAAGTTAAATTTAAATTAAACATACGCTACAGATTTCTGTACTGCTTTTCAAAAGATGATCGAAAAGTTCTTTGGAAGTTTTGAATTTCTCAACTGGAATGTGATAATTCATATAATTCTTTTGATCTTTCCGAATTCGCTTGCCCACCGTCAGTAAATCCTGAAATTACAGAAAATTATGGGAAAAAAATATTGAATTAATTTTTCAGTGCAAATAGCATGCTTTCTTTTGAGCTTTCTTTTCAAGTTATCATATTAGTTTTTTCCCTTCATTTATTTCTAAACTAAAAATAAACGAAGGAAACCAAATAACAGGATATAATACAGTAGACCTAAAGTAATATTATAAAATATAACGGGTTAATCAGCAGTTTAGTGAAAAATGTGCGGATGTTTTAAATGTGAACGTTCTAAGACAACTATACAGATTTTTTGATATCGTGCAACGATTATGACATTACATAAACCTGAATCGAAGTTCTTGCCGCGAACATCTCAATATGCTACAATCAATACCAGCGACATAACTTTGACAGAATCCTTTATGAAAAAAAAATCATATTGATTATGTCAGGGGTGAGCTTGAACATCGGAGTACTGTCGAACTTCCAGTTAATTAATACAGTATTCGCCGCTTATTAAAATCATTTCCGTTCCGATGCTATTTGAGTTTATCAAGTGGCCGAGTTTTTTTTTTTTTCTTTTGATATTACTCAATCTTGGACTGTATTTTGAATTTCTTAAAATTGTTGGTAGCCTTTTTAATCCCCACCTTTCAGTTTAAGAGTTTTCTTTAAAGATGATGATTTACAAACTTCAAATAATTCAATTTTGAATTTATCTATCAAAATACTGACTAACAACTAATCCAATAATTAATCATAAAGTAATTATTAAAAAAATTATATTAAAATTAAACTGATAGTTTTATTTTATTTAAAAATTTATATTAAAAAATAAATTTACAATTTTTTTTTTCACTTTTCTATAAAAATACTTCTATAATTACCTACAAATAATTAAATAAAATTTTTAACTTTGATAAAATGTTTAACTTTTACAAAACTTGTTGTATCCGTGGTTTTTTTTATTTTTGATAGTATTCAATCTTGAACTGTATTTTGAATTTCTTAAAATTGTTGGTAGCTTTTTTGATCCCCACCTTTCAGTTTAAGGGTTTTCTTTAAAATTTGGAGTGCTTTTCAAGATTTGGTTGAAGTTGGGATGCCATCACGTTTCTCTGCAAGTTTTTCAGTTATCTGAACACTCTCTGTAATATCACAGTCAATTTTTACACGCGTTGTCTCAATACTGTTGTCAGTTGACACATATTCTAAAAATGAATATTCATAATTTCCCTTACCCCTGATGTCTAAACCACAAGCTATAGCTTCCATTTCCTCTGTCGCTTCTGTTATACGAAAGCTAAATTTTCGAAAACAGTTTTTCACTGTTTTAAGAGATCGATCCCCCTACATTGACTGTAATATTTATATCCTCTAACAAAGATATCGATTTACTTTAGCAATTCCAATATCAGTGTCATTGTGTGAAATGCTTTATAAAACAATAGATTAAAATAATAGATATCATAAACACATACATGCTCTATAAATGGTTACAAATTTCAAGATTAAACAGATATCAGTATGTACGTTAACATCATCCTGAAAATGTATCAATCCAGTAAATGGAACAATGCGAATTAAACAATGAATATTAAAAAAAAAAAAGAAAGAAAGAAAGAAAAAAAAACTGTAAATAAATGAAGTCAAATATATGCAAAATTATATACAAATATTATACACTTACTTTTACCAATCCAAGCATAGAAGGTTTTTTTATGTCTCTATATCTTTCTGTAGTTACTCGAGTGAGTTCTTCTTCCTTTATTACTCTGCCAAAGAATGCTATTAGACTTCCTTGAGAGAAATAATCAAGCTCTTCTGATTTCAAATTGGGGAATATCTGAACAATAGAATTTTTTTAAATGACCTACAAAAAAGTTAATTATAGCATATATAAATTTAAAATATTTTAATAACTTCTTAATACGATAGCTCTTTGCACGTAATCATTATTAACATTTAGAACCAGGGTATTTCGGGAAATAAAATGAAAGCAAGTACCACATCTGAAGATTTCGCCATTAAAAGAACGATTTGGTTATTTCGATAAGAGTCCACAAATTATATAAAGGTATCATGACTATCAACTAAAGACATCATGACTATTAACTAAAGACATATACTTTAATCTATTAAACTACTACACTTTTCGATATGATAATTTTCAAAACAAGACGCTATTATATGTACGCGTACCACATTTTTTCGGACCCAACCCAGAACATATCTTTTAAATTACTTAAAAGTCTTAACAGGCTGTTGCAACATTAAACTTTATTTATTCAGTTGTATATTTAACTAGACATGAATTTTTTCAGAAATGATTTGTTTGTTATAATTACATCGTAAAAGTCACAAGGAAGTTCTGAATTAATTTTAACCTTTAACAGATGTTTAACAGTTGATAGTAAAAATCTATCCCTTTCCGCAGGCCATATGTTCCCCATGATTAAAATAAAAGACTCTTAACTGGAGTTGAGTCTCAGGCAAAAATATCGCTAACTCAACCACTTTAAAATATTGCAACAATTGATATCAGTCTGTTGAACACCTTAAAAATTGCCTTCCACTTCTCTTTAATAGCGTACTTATTCGTAACCTGAAGCACAAGCTATTCTTTTGTTTGAATTATCTGCTTCAACTACTATGAAGATTCATCAAAAAGTCATCAATATTTATAAAATCTTTTATAATTTCATTAACAGCATTCACTCTCTTCTCAATAAGACCAAGCAATTTAAATTCATAAATTTATACACTGAAACTTACTAATTTTATGAAAACTAGTTCTCCACAACTTTAAGTATTGGATACTAGCATTATAAATTGTCTATGCTTGAGAAGAAATTTTGTTCCTGAACATCAATATTTTGTAATAATTAGTAATTCTTTGGCAGAAGATGGTATAAATTTGTGGGCTCTTCTTTCCTGAGGTTGACAAATTAATTCAGGATATTTCTGAAATGCTTCTGCTGCTATGATAGAATTAGCTTCTAGTTTCAAAACTACATTATTAAATAACTGTAGAGTACCAAATAAAAATTTCAAAAACAGTTAACTTTTTTTAGATTTTAAAAAAGAATCAAATAGTAATTTTGAGCATTTTCCCGAAGATAAAAAGAATGATTTTAGGTTATAGAAATATTCACCAACTTAGAGGAACGTTTACGAAATTCATTTGCATCCGTTCTTGACTCTTGAGCACCCTCATCACGATGAAACCGTATTCTTATAAAACTGTGCAAAATGTCTGCAATTTTTTATTGCGAGCAGCAGGTTGAGAATTTTCCGTAACACCCAAACTTTTTTCCTACGACATTCCGTTTAATGAACTCAGCACTAGCTATGCAATAAAAATACAGTTTACATTGCAATAGTTTGGATGACTACCCCTATGGAACGGTACCAAAACGCTGACTTCATGCTTCGAAATATGACTCGTTATGATTGCTGTTATATACATCTATAACTAGATACTGATGCCATAATTAGAATGACCATCAATGTGTAAAAATGCACCGACGTAACTTACGAATTTGATTACAAATCCGAATAATTCACAAGTTTATTAAAATAATAGATCGCTAGAGAATGAAAATTAAAGAAAAGAACTGAAATACGAGGAATCAAATTAATTATATAATAGAATGATTTGGTAAGTCAGGAACATTGAAAGCATGAAAGAAATAATGCGCACAATACAAATGGTATAATTTACTGAAAAAATACAAATAAATAAATCCCTTTCGAAATACTGTATGTAAAGGAGCTGTGCATATATTTTTTCGCTTTGCGAAGAGAAAGAAGACTCGAAAAAGATACGGACCGTTTCCAATGTTTCTATAGTCAATTTGCTGTTAACAAGAAAAAAATCGCAGACGCGGAAAACGGTTGCAAAGTGCAACTATTAAAAAAAACTGTTTATCAGCTTTGTCAAAGGCATGTGGCTCAATGCAGAAAAATTTGTGCAACCCTGTATGAAAACTATTTAGCAAAATATAAATGGAAATACAATGTGACCCTTGATGAAGCATGGATTTACCTAAATGATTGCAACAAAATAAGGTCCGTTTATTATCGAAAATGAAGAGAAAAAATGTACAAATCTGATTTCATAAATGCAAAGAAAGTTTCAGTAAGGGATTAATGACTGTAGCAGGATTCTGCTACAATAAGAAATTAAACTAAAAAGAGTGGGAAAAAATGATAAAATCAACTCATCGTAATATCAGTAGAACGTTTTACGTCCAACTTTTACAGAAGAAATTCCATTTCTTAATTCTGATTACTTTCAGAGAGTGAAACTTCATTAAGACGAAACAACAAGTCATAATTCGAATAGTACCTACGTATTTCTTGAAAAAATGAAGACTGATTCAGGTATTGCAAAGCTAACTGTATAGAGCTCCGGCTATGAAAACCACTGATTAAACCAGATGGGAAGAGCTGTGGCGTCAGGAGTAGGAGTTTCCTGTTGGCTGAGAGTAGAGAAGTAACATAATAGAACACTGAATTAGAGGATACGTTTAACTGGGTGGGACTAATTTCAGAGCCATACTTGATTTAGAATAAAAATAAAGAGCTGACAATAAAATAAATGATATAGGGGGAATAACATAGAGCAATAGGAAAATTAATAATTGAAGCGACCATAATAAGCAAAAATTAAGTGAAATACATAAATAGTAAAAATTTAAACAATTAGGATTCGAACTGCCGACCCTGTTGGTTTGCAATCCCGTGTTCTATTCAACACCTTATCGAGGACGAGGTCAAAGTGCAAAATAAAATAAATTAATTGTTTGAAGGACAAATCTCTAGATGTTTCCTCTCTAGGACTTTTCCTGTTATTATTATCATGAAAATCTTAGTTTGTGGTATAGATTCATTATTTACTTTTTCAATACTGTTAAAGATCTTCTCTGCATTTTTCGCCATAAATTTGGCTAAACGTTTGATTTTGTATTCATAGCGAATAGCAGTATTCCTGATAAATCATCTACTGGCTGTCATTTGCCTAAGGACTGTATTTTGTTTTGCAAGCGTAGCCCCAAACAAGACATGCATATATCATAATGGCTCACAATATGGCCTTATACATAAGTAATTTATTTTCTACAGATAAAACTAAGTGCCGGAAAATTAAGGAGAATAGTTTAGCTTTAGTAGCCCAGAACTTGGATGTAATATGCGTAAGGGGGGGGCTTTCATTGAGTTTTTTATCTCAAATAATGCCAATGTATTTAACTGGCTCACGGGATAACTGGTACTTGATAATAGTTTAGATTTTGATCCAGGTTTCTTGTGAAAATGGCTGCTTCGGACTTGTTCCCTTTAACAGCAATTTTCCATTTCTGAAGACAGGACTCCAGTGCATGTATATATTCTTGTAAAGCTTGGACGACTGAACTCGGAGAAGCGTTTTGGGTCATGAACGCTGAATCTTAAGTAGAGATGACTAGTTATGTGTTTATGTGGTGTGGTATGCCATTGACATAAATTACAAATACTATTAGTCCAATCAATGATTCTTTGGGGGCCACCCTCAAGTATTTGATGGCCAGTAGAGTAATAACTGTTACAGCGAACGGCAAAATATCTATCCTTAAGATATGAATTAATGATGTATGTGATGTAGCCTGGGAAACATAAAGTAATTAGTTTGTAGAGTAACTATTCAAGCCACACATGGCTAAAATTACCTAATTCATTATGACGCTGTTTCAGTGGGAAGTTTAAAACCTTCACTGTTAACATTCAAATTTGATCTCGTATCTGAATTATGAGTAACAATTTTAAGTTTACGAATGCTCCTGTTAGTGGCTAATCCCAGAGGTATTAAAATTTAATTTAACCCTGATCATTCGTCTTCTTCAAAAGAGCGGCAAGTTGCTCAGCCATAGTACATCGGCGACTCCAGAATCCGTGTGTGTAACAAAGCATTGTTCTGGAGTCTAAGTAGCATTCTTCAAATTTTTCGAAACAATAGTTTTGATTATTCATGTCTAAGCCTCCCTTCGCAAAAGTGCTGGTCTGTACGTTAATGGGATAAATTTGTATATTTGTTGGTTAGCCAACCGACGGAAAATCCATTCCTTTTGCAGTCACAAAGACATGCATCCTTCTCACATGACAATAGAAATGGGAAACGGAAGTAAATAATGGTTTTATATATAGCATGCAAATAGCCAAGGAAAGTTTAATTATGGAAATTCAGTTTTTTAAGCAACATTCTTTTATGCAGTCTGAAAAATATAACTTCTGCGTATAACACTTTTGTCACATTCTTATTTAAATCATTACTAAACTTAATCAAATTTAACCTCAGTTTTTTAATATAATTAATTAAATAAAAAAAGTTAACCTTACATCTGAAATATTGAAAATGGTGTGATTGTAAAAGGTCATCCAACCATTTCGATAATAATGGCTACGGCAAGCAGTAGCCCACACTACTTCTTCTGTCTGAAAAAAAAGAAAGAAACTCATTAATCGATTACGATTACAGAGTTCAGTATTTCATAGCAAAATACTCTTACTTTTTTTATTACAGTCTAACTTCATAAAATAATTATATAACTTCTTGACCACAACACTCAATAACAACAATTGCTTTTCCTATCTTTATATAGTATATCTTAATTCTACAGCAGCCAAAAATATAAAGATATAAGAGCAACTGCATTTTTTGAGTGTTGTGGTCAAGAAGTCATACAAATATTTTATTTCATAATTTTTACTGCTGATCAAGCTAATAGAAATAGCCTTTAGATTATTTTTCTTTATTTTCTTTTCTTTGTTATCTCTAATTATATCTCCTCGTGTTGCACAAAGTATACCATGAAGCTTATACAAGTAATTTACAGAACTAATAAAATAAATAAACAAATCTCCAATAGCACTGAAAAGAGTGAAGAAAAATATATATAAATAAAATAAAAACAAAATAAAAAATCTGGAAGCCTTTCAGATTTTATATTACGCCCATAGAAGCGTTTTTTTTTCATTTACAAACATTTCCTGAGCATTTGGGCTGTGGCAATCTAATGTCCGACTGCGTCCAATCCACGTCATGTGGTTTATGTAAAAAAAATGCTAGCGCTGCAGTGAACTCGCTCACTTCGCCCTTAGCTGCAGCATAGGATGTTTGAATTTTAGTTTAGTGGTTTTTGCTATTCGTTCTGTTATTTCAGTTGTGTTAAAGTTATGGTGTGTGTGAATAAAAGTTATGTTTAAAGAAAAGGAGTCATGTCAATTCAAGGATATGCACCAAGTACATAACCACCACGCCACCATAAAATGGTGACCCGACGTCAACGACCATAAAATGGCGATCCGGCTACTTGCATGAAGCTTATACTGGTTGTTCGTTCAAGAGCTTGGTTCCAGAACTTTTGTGTTTCTTCCCTTCAGCCACTGACATGGAGGAAACAGCAGCCGTCAAGATTCCAGTTTACAATCCGATTGACCTGGCATTGTGGTTTGCTATGTGTGAAGCAACTTTTGCTTTAGCCGCACTCAAGCCTATCACGGATTCGAAGACAAAATTTAACTGCTGCGTCGCTCATTTGCCTCCGGAAATCGCTGCGTTGTTTAGAGATATTATTCTCCGGGAACGTACAGATGCTTCCTACGAAGACCTCAAAGCTGCTATTACGGAACGCTGTGGTGAAAGCAGTACGAGTGAAATACGGAAATTACTCACCGGCGAGCAACTTGGAGATAGAAAGCCATCATAACTTCTACGAGTAATGACTTAGGAGGGCTGAAAAGTACAATGTGCCTGACTCTTTGTTACTGGAATTATTCATGCACCAGATACCGCCAAATGTTCAGTCTAATTCTAGCGTCGGTTGAGCCGCACTCGATTCATCGAAAGCTGCCAGTATCGCGGATAGAATATTGGAAGGTTACACCCGCTCAGGTAAGCTAAGTTTCTTCTCGTGTACCTCTCAATGTCTCTGAGAATTCTAAATTGGATTCCCTGCTGGAGGAACTGTGCAAATTGCGTAGCGAGGTTTTTTGTCTCTACGACAATCACGCAGTACTTCCCAAAAATCGCTATAACAGGAAACGAAGCCCTTCAACTAAAGCTGCTTCGAACTGTTCCTATTGTTGATATCATCATAAATTTAGCGATAAAGCTAAATGTATCCACCATGTACATTCCAGGGAAATGTGCCAGGGAAAGTGTAGCGGCGACATGCGCTTTACCCTCTGAGTCTCGTCGCCTTTTCATTAGAGACAGGGAATCCAATAGAATATTTTTGTGCGACACTGGCTCAGACGTCAGTCTTCTTTCAGCAACCAGACAGGAAGCGGGTCAAACACCTATTATGACGTTTTCTGCAGCAAATGGTACCCCTATTCCAGTTTATGGACAAAAAGCGTTAAGTATTGACCTTGGACTTCGTCGTAATTTTAATTTTACTTTTTATGTGTGTAAAGTGTGAACAAATATTATTGGATCTGATTTCTTGCATTATTTTGATTTATTACCTGATTTAAGGAACAAAAAAACTTGTTGATTTAAAAACACATTTGAAAATTAACTGTAGTGTAATTAACACACATTTATATTCTGTTAAAGCAATTATTACAAATTGTATTTATGATAAATTACTGTCTAACTATCCTTCACTGTCAAAGCTTCCTGATCTCAATAAGACTGTTAAGCATAATACTATGCATTTCATTGAAACCATTGGTCCTCCTGTTTCATGCAAGCCAAGGAGATTAGCTCCAGATAGATTAAAAATTGCTAAGCATGAAATTCAGAAAATGATCAATTTAGGTCACATGCGACACTCCAAAAGTAATTACTCCTCTTCCTTTCACATGGTGTCAAAAAAAGGCACAAACGAATTGAGACCTGTGGGAGATTTTCGGAGGTTAAAACGCTCAGACAGTGAAGGGATAAGTATCATATTCCCAATATTTGCGATTTTGCAGCGGAGTTACATGGAACAAAGGTATTTTCTCGATTAGATTTAGTTAAAGCATATCACCAAATTCCAATTAATCCCTCTGATATCCATAAAACGGCTATTGCCACTCCTTTTGGACTTTTTGAGAGCACAAGAATGCAATTTGGGTTATGCAATGCAGCTGCAACCTTTCAACGCTTTATTGATGAAGTAACTCGCGAGCTGCCAGGAAGTATTTGCTTTTGTCAATGATATATTGATAGCGTCAAAAGACGAAAATGAGCATTTGATACACTTAAAAGCCCTTTTTGAAAGATTAAGTAATTATGGGTTAAGACTTGATGTATTAAATGCAGTTTTGGTTTAACTTCTTTGGAATTTTTGGGTTTTCATGTATCTGAACAGGGTTTAAAACCTTTACCCCGAGAGGGTAGAAGCTATTCAAAAATTTCCTAAAACCAAACACATTAACTCAGTTAAGGAAAATTTCTTGGCATATATTATTTTTACAGACGTTTTGTCCCAAGAGCTTAACATCGTTTTAGCTCCCTTGAATAGGTTACTGGAAGGCCGCATTAATAAAAGGAAACCTTCACAACCAAGCAAAACAAAAGATATCCTCTCGAATGGTACGACGAAAGCCGAGAAAGCATTCGAAAATGCAAAAAAGGCAATTGCTGAGGCAACCCTTCTCAAACACCCGAATTCCTGGTGCGACTTTGAAATTTTGTACTGATGCATCGGACGTTGCGGTAACTGGTAGCTCATTAATGCAACTTGCATAATTCAGTTTGGGAACCCATTGCGTTTCTTATCGGTAAAACTCAGCAAAAGTCAAAGGAAATGGTCAACTTATGATCGACAACTATTGGCAATTTATTTGTCTATTAGGAAGTTTCGGCACATACTTGAAGGCAGGATCTTTACAATCTACACTGACCAAAAGCCCTTAATATATGCTTTTAAGGAGAAGCTCGTTCTCCGCGACAACTCCATGACAACTTATCTTGATTTTATTGGCCAATTTTCCACTGACATACGATGCATCAAAGGTCGTGACAATATCGTTGCTGATGCCTTATCTAGGGTAGAAATAGATGCAGTATCTGATAATCAACACATTGATTATAAAAAGTTATCCGAAGCACAAATTCAGGACTCTGAAATTCAAAATTCCTTATCTCAATTTTCACCAGTTTTTAAACTTGAGAAACACTACTTTCCCTTTAGAAGATGTTACTCTTTACTGTAATATGGACACAGGTATACCTCGACCGTTCATACCTGAATCTTTTCGCTCTAAAATATTTCAGAAGATTCACTGTCTTTCTCATGTCGGTATTTCAACTTCAACAAAGCTAATTACTAAGCGCTATTTTTGGCCTAATATGAAGAAATTTATTAAAACTGCAGTTCAATCATGTCTACAGTGCCAACGTTCTAAAATTCATAGGCATACGAAATCACCGTTGGGTACCTTTTCCTTGCCTGATGCAAGATTTGCACATATCCACATTGATTTCATAGGTCCTCTTCCACCGTCTGAAGGTAACCGTTATTGCATGACAATTATTGACAGGTTTACCAGATGGCCAGAAGTCATATCTACTGTCGACATGTCAGCTCAGACGACTTGTAAAGTGTTAGTGCATAACTGGATAGCAAGATTTGGCTGCCCGGTATCAATAACAACTGATCAAGGCCGAAATTTTGAATCTCACTTATTTAAGAATTTAATGAAAATTTTGGGTACACATCGCATTAGAACTATTGCTTATCATCCTCAGTCCAATGGACTGATTGAGAGATTTCATAGGAAACTTAAAAGTTCAATAATGGCTCATAACAACCCAAAATGGACTGAAATTCTGATTATTGTTCTGTTGGGCATTAGATCTGCCATTAAGAAAGATATAAATGCTACTTGCGCTGAACTTGTCTACGGTACTACACTTAGATTACCGTCAGATATGCTGAATGCTAGAAATACTGTATCGCCTACTGAATCTTATTTGTCACAACTTCGATCAGTCATGCATTTAGTTAGACCTATTCCAAACTCTAGGCATATTCAATCACCAATTTATGTACATCCAGCACTTCAAGCCTGTTCTCATGTATTTCTGCGTATCGATTCCGTTAAACCACCTCTATCTCCACCTTACGCTGGTGCTCATACCGTGGTTAAACGAATGGATAAAAATTTTATTATTGAGGTAAATAACAAAATGATTACAGTTACAATCGATCGTTTAAAACCAGCATACATGTTGTCAGAATGTATAAATTCACCTGTAATTCCTCAGTTTCCACAGGAAGACTGCGAAGACTCAAAAATTGTTCCAAAACAAGTAGTTACCCGCATTGGACGTCGTGTTCATTTTCCTAAAAAAACCAATTACTGTAATATGATTAAAGTTTTCTTTCGTGGTTAGCTGCAAATGTTACAATGTATAGATACTTGGAATAATTTTTTTGCATACGTATTGAGTTATATAAAATGCTTATTAACTTTTCATTATTTCTGTTTAACTAAGT